CATGTGACAGGGATTTTAGCCTTTGCAGACCATTTACATGCACTAAAACCTATAGAACAAACTACATCAGGGGGGTCAAACTCAAATACACATTGGGCCAACATTAAAAAATGGGTACTAGTGGAGGGCCGGACTGGTTCAATGTTTATTGCAGAACTTATTGAAATGAACTTATTGCACATATTAAACCTGGAACTAACAAAGCTTAAATGATTGCCTATAAAAACAACATTAAACATTAAATAATCAGTTCATTCATTTCTTATGGCTCTATCTGCAGCTTTTCCAGAGTCATTTCTTATGGTTACATTTTCCCACAGGCCAACAACAGCTTCAACAAAACTATTTCCCTCAAAGAGAAACCAAACATGCCCTGTTGTCGTGAGAGAGAAAGTGCAGAAGGAAACATCCATTAAACTCAGTGTGCTGCTCTGTGATGCTAGCTCAGATACTTGGCATCTCATCTTGGGTGCAAGGTCATCAATGTTTGGGCTCAGGCTCTGAGCTGAGGAGACCCTCAGGATGGAGAGAAGGTGTGCGTGCAATATACCGGAGGGCCAGATCTAATAGGAATTAGAAATTATCCTGTGGGCCGAAATTAAATCCACCAAGGGCCTGATTTGGCCCCCGGGCCTCGAGTTTGACACATGTGCACTAAAGGGAAGGGAAACCCCCAAATAGCATAATAGGGCCTTTTTAACACTGACATTGGAAACATGTAATGATACTAGAGAGCGAAATCGGGTGAGGATGGGGGTTTAGAGGACAACAGAGAGAACAGACAAGAGATATGTCTGAACATTAAGCTTTTACAGAGAAACCCAATGAGCAAACTCGACTAAACCCCAAACCCTCTAACCTCCGACATGTTGTTGATGTTTGAAGCCGAGTTTCCTCTTCACTGTCCATCAGAAAAAACATAAATAACAGGCTGTGAAATGAAATGGGGGAAATAAAATTCAGCTGTCGTTGCAATGTTTATTTTTTACCCCTTTTACTGTAAATAATCGCAGCAATGTGGCAGCCGCATGTTCTGCAGATAAAAATTACAGAAAACAGCACAGCTGAACTTCAAAGTGCAACACAGACACAGCAAGAGGGGGAGTGGGGGGGGGACGGGGGAGAAATAAGAGGGAGAAAGGTGTAGAAGAGAGGAAAAGACTGAAAGATAAAGAAAGAGAGAGAACATATTGCCACTGTGTCAATACAATATATATGCTAATCACGCCTTTAGTATATGTGTGAATTTCATTACACGTAAAGGACTAATACGGTTACGAAGAAAAACAGCGTGGAGTCCTAAAACCAATGACTGTCAAGGTCATTTAAAGCAAAGCAGGAGTCAGAAACTCACACAGAAACCAGGAACAAGAGATTAAACAGCTGCCAAAAATAAACGTAATGTTGAATAATGTCTAAAAACGTCCAATGGAGAAAACCTGCAACACAACACTAGTTCCTCCTGTTCAGTATCACTCGGCCTGTATGCCTCTAAATGTATACAACGTCCTATACTGTACACACATGTTTTAAAAAGGCGTTCCAGATTCTGAAATGAAATAATAATGTCAAGGACAACATTTAAGTAGGTTTTTGTGCTTCAAGATATTGGGTCTTTAGCTTCAAGCTACATTGTTGGTAATGTTAGCTTACGGTTAGGTTTAGGAGCTATCTAAATATCTATCCATCTCAAATGTTTAGGTCTCAAGTAAGGAACGCTTCGGTTAACCAACTAAAACATGTGGTTCAGTTCGGCTAACTGCTCAGTTTTATGAACTGGAGGCCAGAGTCCTGCATCGGATCGGATACCCGACGGGAGACCCGCAAAAAAAGTGATTCGCGGGTGATATTTTTATTTTTATTTTAATTTCTGGGTAAAACAAAGAAGATGCGGGTCGGGTCGCGGGTGTTGCATAATAAATATATTAAAATAATAATTATTTAGTTTAATGTTTAAATCCTCAGACCTCTCCCCCGCGGGACCGCGCATAATCATAACCTCTGCAGCGCATCAATCTGCTTCTGAGCGCCACATTCAAAATGGCTGAGGTGAAGCTCTCTACGGAGAATACAGCATTTTCAACAACACTTCCTCGAGAGCGAAACCCAACGTCTGGGAGGCTTTTGGTGTCCTCCTAGATGGAGAGAATAACCAACATCCCACGCTTTTTGAGACAAATATGGAACTGCTTGTGTTAAAAATTGCACGTTTTCACTGCTCATATATATGCGGGTTCGGGTCAGGTTGCGGAACTAATTGGCAATATGTGCGGGTAGCGGGGCGGGTTCGGTATTGCACGTCGCGGGTGCGGGGCGGGAGCGGGTCTTGAAAATCCGACCCGTGCAGGACTCTGCTGTGCGCCACTCAGCAGGTAGGTTAGCTATAAGTTTAGCTACAACGTTTAGCTTAATTTTGACAACAGTTCAGTTAACTAGCTCGAAAGCCTGCATCGGGAACACAACACTAGTTCCTCCTGTTCAGTATCACTCCGCCTGAGAAGGTAACGCAGTACTTCTGGATTATTTTCATTACTTTAAACTTACATAAAGCCCTACACTGTACACACTTGTTTTAAAAAAGCGTTCCAGAATCTGAAATGACTTTAAAAATGTCAAGGACAACATTTAAGTGTTTTTTGTGCTTCAAGCTAGGAAATAGTTTGTAATGTTAGCTTACGGTTAGGTTTAGGAGCTATCTAGCAGCTATCTAAATATCTATCTATCTCAAATGTTTACGTCTCAAGTAAGGAACGCTTCGGTTTACCATATAACACTTGACTGCTCAGTTTTATGAACTGTAGGCCATTCAGCAGGTAGGTTAGCTACAACAGTTAGCTTAATGTTGACAACAGTTCAGCTAACTATAGCTCAACAGTTTAGATCAGGTTAGCAAAGTTAAGTTATTTGATAAAGGTTATAAGCTTCAGGATTTGGTAGTGATTCATTCAAAGGAAACCTGCTATCAAGGAGATCTCAAAAGTATCAGTTTCTTTTTGACTTCTGTTCCCAAACCAGATTCTTTATAATTGGAAACCCCATTAAATATATTTGTGTTATCAGGTAAAGGTGGTGGCTGATCAACATTGTTTTGCTCCTGGTTCTACGCTGACAGCAGATTTCCACATCCACACACCCTAAAAACCCAAGTGCTCAATGGCACAGTCATAATGTGGATATACAGCATTAATATTTGGTTAATTCATGTGTATGGATTTCAAAGAAGCTCCGGCAAGACATTGAGAGCCAAGAACCTTCAGAGCTTTTCTGTGTGTGTTCAGAATTAAACAGTTTACCTTCTACACCTCATCTTCACCCACCTCTCTATCTATTTATGTCTTTCTTAAATAAACTACTTCCTAAACTATATAATATACTATCTCAAAAGTAGTTTTGCCCGAAAGCTGACCACAAACATTGACCTCACACTGTGAACTGCATGCTGGGAAATGTACAGTTCTCACGATCAAAGGCGGAGAAATTGTGTGTTGCTTGCAGAAATAGTTTTAAAGCTACATTAATCCTAATCTTAAAAATATGTTATAGCTTTAATAATTCCCAGAGTAATAACCCAGGCAGGAAACAACTGTCTGAGACATCTAGCCGCTAAAGAACCAGACGTTTCGACATTTTGAATATTTGACTCTTAAAAATTAAGATCACTGAAAAAAACTGAAGCATTGACTTTAATTAAATGTATTATGTCAACAGATTTCACATAACTGTATTAGGTTAGTTGAAAGCAATAATATTAAGTTTAAATAGGTTCAAATGTAATGTTATTGCTTTCAACTAACCTAATACATTTAATTGAAGTCAATGCTTCACTTTTTTCAGTGTTGTTTCGTAAAAATTCTTCCAATAAAGCTTTTTGTTTTTCAGATTGAACTGTCTATTCTCCATTCTGAGACCTTTGCAAAAAGCTCAGTTTGGAGGACAGGAAGTGTTGAATGCCAAAATGGAGGGAAAATAAAACATACATTTTGTGTGGACCCATGTCTTTATGCATTTGCAATGTTTTTGAAAATGTGTGTGTGTTGTTTGTGTAAGTTGATGTTTGTGTGTCCAGCCTTTGTGTCGATGTTGTGATCGTCAGACCTCATGCAGGGCAATTATTCACGAAAAGAATTACTGCAGGGGTATTTAACTTCACTTTCTCATTTGTTTATACACACACACACACACACACACACACACACACACACACACACACACACACACGCACACACACGCACACGCACACGCACACACACTCCTCCTCTGGCTCCTCCCCCTCTCAGACTACCTCCCTGTATAAAAGCCGATGAGTTTCAGTCTTATCAGAAACAGGTCTGAACACTTTACCCCTCTCCCTCTGACTGATCCTCACTCCTATGCTGCTGTAGGATGTAGCTGAAACTCTGCAGAGAAACACGTTTTTTACTCTAATGCATGCGCGTTAATGTAGTCCCAAACGAGATATTAAAAAAGCGTTTTTATTAAATCAACATGCAGCCATAAAGACACGTGTTTCGCGAAGTTGGAAGTTTATTTTAAGTGCTTCAATTCCGATTGAGATGGAAAGCAACACTCGTTAGGATACCGGACGACATGGGAAAATGGGAGTTGACAATGGTGAGTAACACAAATACTTATACAAATATAAACGGATCGATACATGAGTTAAGCTAATCAATAGAGTCTCAGCATTGCTTGTCGTGTAATGTGTTTCCATACAGCCAATCAGAGCGATTCCCTCATGTTATAGGTGTAAATAAATGATAACGTTTTTATCCAAAGTGACTAACAAAAAGTGCAATAAACCATGTAGACGCAAACTCAGAACAGCCACTCTTTATATTTAAAAACATTAAAAAAATAATATCTGTAATGTAATTTATCCCATGTCTTATCTGCAGTCCACAAGTTTTTTATTTGACTAAAGCTTCAAACAAGTCTAGCCTCATGGTGTGCCTCTCATGTACAATAATTACATTTAAAACATAGAGACAGGCATTAGTTTTTACTGCAAAATGAATATCTGGCAGTTATTGAAGCACCCAGAAGATTAAAGAATACAATACAGATTAAATTGCATGATATTTCCAAATCATGTTACCATAAATTACATACATCAGGGGGGTCAAACTCAAATACACAGTGTGCCAAAAAAAAAAAAATGGGTACTAGTCGAGGGTCGGACTGGTTCAATGTTTATTGCAGAACTTATTGAAATGAACTTATTGCACATATTAAACCTGGAACTAACAAAGCTTAAATTATTGCCTATAAAAACAACATGAAACATTAAATAATCAGTTGCATTCATTTCTTATGGCTCTATCTGCAGCTTTTCCAGATTCATTTCTTATGATTACATTTTCCCACAGGCCAACAACAGCTTCAAAAAAACTATTTCCCTCAAAGAACAAACCAAACATGCCCTGTTGTCGTGAGAGAGAAAGTGCAGAAGGAAACATCCATTAAACTCAGTGTGCTGCTCTGTGATGCTAGTTCAGATACTTGGCATCTCATCTTGGGTGCAAGTTCATCAATGTTTGGGGTCAGGCTCTGAGCTGAGGAGACCCTCAGGATGGAGTGAAGGTGTGCGTGCAATATACCG